AGGCATGAGAAGAAGCTGATGTGTCCGGTAAAAATTCAATAAATCGTCGAAACTCACCCACACTGATTCTAGTCTTACAACACAAAACGAAAAATCGTATGTAACTTGTACAAAGCAGTCGGTTCTGATCAATTGAGTAGGTAACAAAAACAGTGAAGCCGAAAAATTCGATAATTCATATTCGGAGATGAACAGAACTTTTTAACATGTAATATTATAAACATGAAATGTTTTAACCTCATATGGTCACGTTTCAACTCGCGACATCAAATAAAATTCCATTGCCAGAAAAAATCCCACAAAAAATATATAACAAAATAAGCCTTTAGAAAGAAGAAAACGTTCAGTTAGAGGTTAATGATATTAGCTGTGGGTGTGATAGGTAAAAATTGTTGTGTTTTCTTATTGAAAAATGTTACAATTTCTGTTTGTATGCTTGGTGTAGGCAAAAACAAAATTTATAATTTATATAATCAAATATAATTTTCTTTTAGAAAATTGTGAATTACACTTTTTGCAAAAAATGGGTCGTGTTTAAAAGTAATAATGTATTTTCTGAAAAAACACTTGCGGGGGAAAATCAATCTTTTTAAGGTGGAAGATATAACAGCTTCCTATATATGAAATATTAATAGTTGTATTGTGTTTTATTTCCTGAAAATAAAAATTTTGAATTAGTTTTTTTAAATACTGTCGTTTACAAACGTCTTGATGATACGTTGACACGAGGAAGTTTTATAGTTTATTTTCACAGTTTTTACTAAGTTTGTTCTATTTTGAAAACTGTGCAAATTGCAGTATGAGTTTACATACTACTTATGAAAACTCATACTGATGGAGTTTATAATACTGGATTTACATTTAAATCTTTACTACACTTATCTCGGAATATTTAATCTCGTAATTTTCAAGAGGAAAATAATATTAAAATAATCTATTGAAAATTACACGAAAGGATATTGATTGAGGTATTGTATAAGAAATAAATAATATTTCAACATTCTTTTCATATTTTCTATTTTCGAACACAATTTTACAAAACAATATTAGCAAGTATGCTGCAAGAACAATTTCGAGGGAGAAAATAAATAATATAAATTATTCATAAATTATTAAATTACATGTCAATCAAGTCCCAATATCGTCAACGGAAGTCTCGTATCATGTTAGCTCTAAGTTGGGTACTTGCATAGTAAGTACCAGAAACCCGTATTTGTACAATAGTTCGTCTTCATATCTTACTGTCTCTCAGTTCTTGTCCGTCGCAAAGAATTGTCCATTTCGTCAATATTTATAACAAACAAGTCATTGAAGTCTTCGTAATAGTACAACATTGTAAATATAGAGATTCGCGCTAGCAAAGTAACGAATTGCCAGGTAATTTTCACGTCTGTTTGCGAACTATGTGAACTGACTTTGTATCACAAGTCCTCGTATACGTCCGCCATTTCTGTCCGTTAGCATTGCAGTCATCTTAATGTGTCGTAATTTCTGGACTGAAATCTGTCACACGTATATAAATAGTTAATAAAAAGTCTGAATTTCTAGTCCATGTAGTCTTCAGGCCGGAACTGGTATATCTGTCTTCTGTCTAGTATCTAGTATTGTTATCATCATCACTCTACAAAACTATGTAAATGTCTCTATTTAGTACACCATCAGCTGTCATTGTCATTCAGTCTTTTTCGTCTTCTCATTGTCGAGAGCAGTGTTGCCAACACACAGTCAGCGTCGTCGAAGTCGGGTCATGTGGTTGGCGAAGGTCAGATCGAAGTCTTTTCCGCATCCAGGAGATTGCGAGACTCTGCAACAGATGTAAAGTAATTAAAGCGATTGTCTTAAAAGTCAGCCATGCAAGGAGAACATAGCGTTTCTAACAAGGTTCGCGTGTGCAACTGTTTGAACTACGTGCTGCATTTTAGAGAATAGTCTAAGTAGTAGTATAATTTGATTTAGCTTGTTCTATTATTAGCTAAAGCTCAGATGTACTTTCACTGACATTTATTACTTTGTGATAACAAATTTAAACTGTGTAGTACATTCGAATTATCAATAGTAGTCAGTTTTCCTTTAACAATACAATACAGATACTGTTTAAAATAATAATATATAGTGATTAGTGTTTGCAAATGGAACGTTCCTCGTTTGCGAATTACTCATTTAGGTGAACAGTGAAAACAAAAAAAATATTTTGTTTCCAAAGTTCAATACTGAGCTTCGTTATGTATGACTTTCATATCACTTTCTTTTAACATGTCAGGATCTGCGAGAACAAAGCTATTGAAACAAAAAATCTCAATTCATTGCCATTGTTCTATCACATTGGAATCAAAAATATATCATTCCAAGTTTTCTTACATTTCAAAAACATGCTATTCCAATGTAGTAAAAAAATTGTCTTGTACCAAATACTTTCGACAAAATTAATCACATATTTCTATTTTAATTTGCTTTCCTACTTCCCACTATTACTTTCTTGTGGTAACTAATTTTTTCTCGCATATTTAATAAGGTTTCTATTTTCCGATACAAGTGGACTGTATATGAAACGCCTGTGATTGTCTCACACATCAAAAGTTGTACGTATATTACTATGCGAAAAAATTAAAAGGTAGGTAAGGATTACTCTTAACCATATACCAGAACAGACGTGCAACATTTACATTATGTTTGGCACAAGTAAAATATAAACTAATTTCTACCAAAGCGAAAGAAAACTTCAAGAAGTTAAAACGAATTGACAAGAGTGCACAACTGATAGAACATAGAAGGCAACAAATAAAATCCTGAGAAACAAGCTACGAATAAGGGAATACATTCAAAAAGTTCAGAAAGGAACCAAAGCAATACATTTTTAACAGATAATGTAGCGATAGAAAAAATTATTAAGGAGATGAACCAGCAACCACTAGATAAACTAAACAAAAATAAATGAAAAGTGCTCTGTAAGATAAATATTGAATGAAGTAAGTACTTATTGGTTGGTAAACTTCATTAGCGAGCCCAGAGAGACAAATAAGTGCGACGAAAGAAAAAATATCTGTATACAAATAGAATAAATAGTGAATATTACAAAATTAGCTCTCACGGGCATGTCAACTTGATACTCAATGCATCCTAAAGAAACAGATATGAATTACATCCTCCCAAGAGCTGCTATTAATAGAAGAATTAATTAAAATACAGAACAATATACAAAGATTTACGACATGAAACAATAAAGATTTTTGAAAAAAACATGAAATAAAACTATTCACTGCACAATCGCCAAATAACATTTTTTTAAAACGTTATTAAATCTCCTCTTCTCTTTTTATACATTATATACATTCAATTTTGAAAATAATTTTCGTTAAACCATTCAACAGTAAGTACTAACCCTCGGATTATATTAGTATATTAAACTCAAATTTTAAAAAATGGCGTTGGAGAATAAAATAGACATAAATAACTTCTGAATCTTAGAGTATACCAGTCAATAAATACTTGTTATTATTTAAAGATATAAAACAACGAGTAAAACCCCTACGACAATTTAAAAATAAGTCGTATAAATTACACTGAAAAATTACGAATACACATTACAATATCACAACAAATGTTAATTTATTTTTAATTAAAATTGAAATGTTTGCAAATCGGACCTTGTAGTACTGACAAAGTAAATCTCCTCATCTTAGTTACGTTTTTGCCTTGACACTCTCGATCTATAGAGCAAATATTTCAATTTTTTACTTCGGGACCGTAAAATATCCTAGGTTTTATTCCTCCTTACCCTTAGTGTCCACCAAGGATTTTAGTCTTTAACATACAACACCCCACGTCAACTAGATTCCGCTATTTACTGACATACAGTTCCCATACTATTTTCAGAGAGCAACAACTAGCTGAAAGAAATTAGTCACTCCTAAGGGTTACAGAGGAAGCCCACGATGCGCGACGGCTCAGAACACCACCTCGACACATACCGGCGTCAGACAAAGGACCATTTATACTAAACCACCTTCAACAAAATTATATAAAAAGTAAAACTGTATATTATTTAAGAAAACAAATAGGAACTTACTTCTTGATCGCGATACGTCAACTGCGTGTGACTTTGGTCCGAGTTTAAAGTGGGACAGTCATGGCTTCACCTTGTGGCGACTGCACTTGTTGCGACTGGTATTGAACCTGCATCTGTTGCTGCTGCTGTTGCTGTTGCTGTTGTTGCTGTTGCATCTGGCGCTGGTAGTGCGCGCGGTACGCCATCTGCTGGGCGTCAACGGGCTGGGCGCTGCCTGAGGCTGAAGCTCCCTGCAAAAGAAAGCTCATTGTTTAGAAGACCTAGGGAAGATTACTATTACCAACAACAATGAAGACTGAAAACCAACAATGTGGTAATAATAAATTATATTTCATAAAAGGCTTACTTATATTGTTAAATTGGGTTTCAAATTGTTGGGAGATACATTATTAGCGATCAATCAAAAAACTAAGACGTAGAATGTTTAAGAACCAATGACGACATAGTTTGAACATTTTTAACCACTTAAGATTAGAAATAGAACGCAAGTTTTGAATTGTTAAAGCAGATACCAAATTTGTGAATACCAATTGAAGAGCTTTATTCAATGTGTCAAGCGTAAACAATCAAAAACATAACAAATCTGGGCATGAATAATAAGAACTTCACAATATTATACAATTACGTAAGTCCAGTACAAATCAGTAAATTCCTAAGATTGGAAAACAAAATCACTATTTTGTGTTATAAATAAATTCATTACGTGAAACATTATTTCCTTAAAGTGCTTTCTTTTGGTAATGTTGTATTTTCTTGTTTTCACGTTTCAACTGATTGTCTTGGATATACCTCTCCCATAGCAAAATTTTGTTTTCCTGTACTCATTTGTTTTTTATGAAGCACACTGAACATTCCGAGCAACCTCTAGTCACGCGACTGTTAAAGAGACCGGACTTCCGAAGTGAACGAATCCAAACTGCGTACCATTAAACGGAACGACTCAATACCCGGGACGCGAGCTCCCACAGAAGTGCAAGTGCCATTAGGAGCAGTATTGCCAACAGCAGAACAATCTTAACTTGGAGACCGAAGCACCGATTAGCCGGCGTCGACTACGAGAAGGGATTCGAAGGGCGTTCAGCGGAAGACATCGAATCGACCTCGCGTAAAGGAGGCCGCCCATTTTAGCTTCTCCTTAAACGCGCCTTCTCTTTTTTTGTCTGGCTACAACTTGCGCGTTTTGCACGTTAGCCAAAGGCACAGAAGGTCGTGGGTTATGGTGTCTGTTAGCTCAAGCGCTGTTTTATTATCGACCCAATTGCAATAAAGTGTAGCTACTTTGAAGCCCTTTATTTATTCTTTTTACTTTTTTGCCCTTCCCAAAAGAGAAAGTTCTGTATTGTAATCGTTCACAAGTCAACGGGGAATTTTCGACAGAAAACCTGTTATTACCGGGCCCTGGTAAGCCGTCTGTCTGTTCGTCGTTCTGTGGTCAACATTAGCGCTTAACCAATTTTACTGATTATCTCCAAAATTGATATTCACCGATTGATCTCAATGAACTGGAGGTTAGGAGAATTTAAATCATATATTTTAATTTTTGGTGGTTTTTAACATCAAGCGAGCATTTACGTTTTTACGCATCGGCCAGAGTTTGATCCAGCGTTGATTTCTGTAGCGTAGTGGTATGAGTAACGGTAAGTTAACACTGAGGATGTGAGTGGAGGTCTTGGAGCGGAAAAATGCTAATTAAAAACATTTTTTCAGGTTTTTATGTAGTAATGTGATATAGTGGAGCAGTTAGAAGTAATGCGGGAAAGCACCGTGCTTTTGCACTTTTGTTTGCTACGCGAACGTTCGACCTGATAGATTTTCTGTGAGGAGGCATGTTGTCCACGCCTTTAATTCCACAATCATCCAATCCACGATACCCACGGTAGGTGTAATTTCGAATAGAGGTGAAATGAACGTATGGCCTCAAGACCAGATGAAAACGTTTAAATACGCAGACCCGCGAATGGAAGTGAACGGAACGTTACGTCTAAAAACAGAATCGCATTGCCAACGAATTTACACGTCGATTCGCGAATAGAGGTCAACAGAGCTTCTTAAGTCGGTTTTCCACTGCAGAGAAAAACATTCCATGACGTACACGTGTACGGAGATCCACGAACAGAGGTAAAATAGACGTGTCCCAAGACCCATCTCACAGCAGAGAGACAAAAATTCCATTACGTTCCATGTGTATCGGACGAGTTTACACGTCGACTGATCCACGAATGAAACGTGTTAAGTCGTTATTCTATCGCAGAAAGGAAAACTCCACCACGTATATATACGGAGATTTGCGAATGGAGGAGGAATGGACGCGTCATCTCGTACTCTGAATGATTAAAGCGCTCACCGTGGCGGAGGTCTCCTGTCAGTGCCCTCTCTCCCCTCTCGTCTGCGCCTTTGCTCCTCTTCTAGAGCGCGCCCCCACTCCGAATAGTGATGAAACGAACGTGTGGCCTCAACACCAGTCGAAGAAGTTTAGACACACGAATGGAAGTGAACGGAAACGTCTAAACATGGCATTCCATTGCCGACGTGTTTACACGCTGATCCGCGAATGGAGGTGAACAGAACGTGTTAAGACGTCATTCTATCGCAGAAAGGAAACGTTCACGACGCCAAAAAGAGAAGAAATAAATTGCGTAGCCTCAAGACGCGCTGAGGGGTTGAGAGTGCGTGCTCACCGTGGCGGAGGTCTCCTGTCGCTGCCCCCTCTCCCGCCGGCGCCTCTGCTCCTCCTCGAGCGCGCGGCCCCACCCGTGGCCGTGGCCGTCGTCCACGTGGTCGTGCGAAGCCGAGTGCGAATACGAGTGCGTCACGTGCGGGTGGCGCACGATCTCCACCGTGGTGTGGCCCTTGTCGTGGCCGCCGTGCGCCAGCTTGCTCAGCGCCAGGATGCCCGCCAGCACCAGCGCGATGGTGGCCGTCATGAGCGCCTTGCCCGCCAGCACCGCCACGCCCTTGTACGCCATCATCGTCATCCAGCCCTTCCACAGCAGCCCCATCATGAGTAGGCCGCCGCCCTTTTTGCTGCCGCCGCGACGGCGCCCTGTTGGGGAAAAGAGAGCCAGGGTTAATGGTGGTTGCGTTTTGGTTTGGAAATCAACTGCTGATCAAAGCTTTTTATTATTACAGGATACATTATAATAAGGTTCGCTTTGTTTTAGTGCATACAGCTTCTTCTATTCAAGCAAGTACTGAATAAATCTTATTTTAATAAAGACAAATAATGAAAGAAGCATTTTATAATTAAATACGGATATTTATGTAAATAACAATCAGTTTTCTACACTTGATGAGTACGTCAAATAGTGATCAGAAATTGTTTATTATTGCAACTAATGATCAAAGCTTGTAAATACTGTTGATAGCCTATTCATTAAGTGAATTAGTGACCAATATTGTTTTTTGAATAAGTTTAATTGAAGTATATACATTATTTCCAAACAATGTTTTTTCTATTATAATTTTTATTTTCGAAAGGTTAGTAGTTTTCAATTGAACTTGAATTAAACTGTGAGAACTTTGTTGGGATTTGCATTGAAGTACGTGAAAGTATAAGCTGATACAGCACCCGGAGTAAATGTATTTATTAGTATATATTACTTTATAGCATTATCCACACCAATTTAAATTTTGAATAGCAGCCCTTAATTCCGTTCGTTGTACTTTTGCATCATATGTCGCATACTTTTTTTGATGTGATGTAGATTCCTTGTGATGATATTTGCACTGAATTCATTATCGTGTATCTTAGCGATAAGAGACGGTTGTTGATTCTAATGTGGAATAAATGTAACACGTTTTAAAAGAATCACGTCCTTTCATGTAGTAGTGATAATTATTCAAACATTCTGGGCATGTTTTCTTGGGCTACTGAATTTCTTCCCCACGTTTTAAATGTAACTGAATGATGAATAAATGTCCCAATACTGTTAATAATGTAAACCACAAATTGTATTTGTAATGCAATGTATTGCATTGTATTGTAATGCAAATTGATTGACGCTGTATTAATCCCAACTTTTTTTACTATCCTTTGCCAAAATGAATCTACTGCTATGAACGCTGTGCGCGTGAGTTACCGTTAACAATGTAAACTGCCGGTAGGAAATTGATTGACGCTGTAATTATTCCAACACTTTTTACCGTTCTTTGACTAAATAAATGAAAGGAAATCAAATTAACGAGCGCGTGCTCACCTGTCTCGACTGCGTTGTCCCCCTCGGCGCCGTCCTGCGCGTCCTGGTCGTCGTGGACGAGGCGTCGCAGCGCGCGGGGCACGGCGAAGGAGAGCGTTCGCGTCTGGAAGAGGCGGCGCGCGCGGTCGGCCAGCAGGTCGTCCAGCACCTCGGCGCGCGCGGCGGCGTCCTCGGGCAGCGCGCGCTCCTCGAAGGCCGGCACGTCGTCCAGCGCGCGGCCGCCGCGCCCCGCGTCGGCCTCCTCCGCCCGCGCCAGCGACAGCCCGTCCACCAGCTCCACGCTGTCCGCTGCCAGCGCGCGCTCCAGGGACCTGCGCGCACAGGAGGAGGCGTGGCGTCAGTGGAGAGACCACGTTTGGGACGTGGCGTCGAAGGGAACATGCGGACACAGGGAGAAGACATGTGGTTAGAGGAGTGATCACATGAGCACATTGCGGCCAACAGGACTGCGCACACAGGAGGAGACGTGTAGTCAGTGGAGCGACCACATTTGGGACGTGGCGTCGAAAAGAAACATGCCATGCGCACACAGGGAGAGGACATGTGGGTAGAGGAGCAACCATGTGGAGACATTGCTTAAAAAATGACATCCGCACATTGGGACGAGTGTAGTTACAATCACATGAACACATTGGGAGACCAAAAGGACATGCACACACAAGGAGGAGACATGTGGTTAGTGGAGCGACCACATTTCAGACATGGTGTCGAAAAGGTATATGGGGAGGAGACATGGGGTTGGAGGAGACATGGGTTAGAGGAGCGATCACGTGGACACATTGCGTTCTAAAGGGCATGCGCGCAAAGAGAGCTGCCATGTGGACAGTGAAGCGCCTACATGAGACGGCATCGCAGAAAATAATGAGGAAAAGTTTAAATGGGAAATAAATAAAATAATAATTTATTATAGGAGAAAATAAAGAAGAAGAAGAAAAACAAAAAAAAATAAAAAAAACAAAAATGTATAAAATAGGGAAATTATTTAAGAGAAAGAGAAGGAAAAGAATAAATTGTTAAAAATAAAGTATAAAAGGATATGATAATCGGGAAGAAGAAAAAATTGAAAAACTGACCAAGAAGAAAAACAAACAAAAAAAGAAATTAGGAAAATGATTTAAGGGTAAGAGAAGCCGACTTACGGGGCCGAGATGCCTAGAGCACATGCCTACTCAGTGCCTTGATCTGAAGGGCCGTGAGGTCGAGTCCCACCGATGGCATGGCTGTTTGTCCCGTGTCTCATGTATATGAGAATTCGCTGAAGGCCTAGTGAGTCTGCTGACCACAGATCGAGGTGCCCTCCAGTATGTCTAAATTAATAGATTAATATGTTTACCCATGGGGAACATAATGAATATCCAGTGCGGATTGTCAAAATCGACATCCCAATAAGCTGGAAAAAGCCCCCGAAAGAAAGAAAAAACGGGAAAGAGAAGGTTAAGAAGAAAATTAAAGAAATGCAGAGGAAAGAAAAATGGGAAAGGAAACAAGAATAAAAGAGGAAAATGACAATAAAATAATTGAAAATTTTGGAGAAAAACATCAAGTCCCTAGAACCAATTTTCGGAAAGAATAGTGTTACTTTTGGTCTTCTCAGGCCAAAACCATCTAGTTAATATTCATCAAGTCTGGTTTATGTATTCCACATTTTCCTGACTATCATTAATCACTCGCCATGCTCTCTTCAATTTACAAAATAAATATAATAAAACGAACCTTTTTTTGTGTAATATCCCTAATAGTGATTCTCCATATTTACAGTCTTTCACAAAAAAAATTAAAATATCAACGAACAAAATTCATGTAATACTAAATTATCAACTCACATTTCCCACCTCCACTCATTAAAAAATAATTTCGAACTAATATTGCACTGTTGATTTGATATGTCCCCGTGCATTTTTATTTAATTTTTTGCAAATTACGACAACCAAGACTCCTCAGTTATTTTTATTTAAATTTTATTACTGAGTTAAAGAGAGCCTTAATATTACATAACGTTGCCCTCAACTTTAACGCAAATCAAACAAAAAAATAACGGGAATTTTAACCTTAAAAATGACTGTTACTTGGGAATGTGTTGATTTTATTTGAACGTCAGTATTCGATGCTAATAATGTCAGTGTACGAAGTCGCCGAGGAAGTACAGGAGACTGAAAAGTATATTTTATCCTCGTAAATGTCAGATACAGTCAAGTACTGTTTTGACATAAAGTGATTTAAAGAGAGAAATAAAAAGAGGAGGGGGGAATTGGAAGAAAAACATGGCATATCTCGTCCTTATCATTTCAGTGCTTTTTTTAAATAAACTTAATTCTTCAACATTTTCAATAACAGGCACCGATAAACATTTGGATGAAACATTTACAAAGTTTTCATTTGGTATCACTAATGTGGAAAGGAATGAAAAGTTCAATGTTTCGTTAGATACAATCAACGACTACGAAATTACTTTCGTAAAATGCATTTTAATGACGTGACGAGGAAAACTTTGAGTAAATTAGTTGCAGAGCATATCTAATTGCAGATCTGGTTTGTGTCGTATAACGATCCGTTAAAAGAAGTTTACACCTACTTATAACGGAATAATGCAACAGCAGAATAAACTGACATAATAAACATTTCCTGGTAAGTGTATAATTTGAATGTAGTTTTATGAAGCATATACGAAAATGCACGCAAATACGTTTTAAAAGATTGGACCTAACACCCATGAAGGTTGTGGCAACTCCGAGAAATATTTTCATCAGACTGCACTTCATCGTAGACTAGATTTTAAATTTGCAATTGTTAGCACCTCATTATATCATTGAACTATTTAAAAATACGTGTACATGCAAGTGGTCGCGTTAATAAGGTATCGAGTATCCGGAAACATTTTGTAAAGAATTCTAGGGAAAAAGCGAAACATTCTTCCATTATTATTATTTAAATAGAACAATAATTAAATTCCAAGTAAGGTTCAATTAGAACTCACGAGATCATATCTTACTCTGCATGCTTTAGACGTGTTTTACATGTGCATTTCCTGTACAACTACATGACTCAGATATGAACAGGAATCGCTGGAATTGATCAAGATTCGTAAGTTCGCAAGAGTAATTACTTTGTAGTAGGACGCTTGAGATTTTGATTCCAAAGTTTGTTATGATATAATCGCCCCATCTGAATACCGTTCATACACAATGCTGTTCAAAGGATGAAATTTCATTTTATGTATTCTGAACGTAATTACTTTTCCCTCGCATTGACAACCAATGATATTTATAGGCGTAGGCTATAGGCATAGACAACCAATGGTATTATTGGCAAGAAAAATTTGTCTCGAAATAAGAGGAAAATTAATAAATGCTATGATATTAAAATTATATCCTTTTCTTTCATTAATTTCAGGAAAAATTCTGAATTTCTTTCTCGTGAGGCATACAGCAGATACCAGTATGTGCGCATTTACCAAAGCCCTATCTAACTAAACGAGTTTATACTGAATGATGCAAATAAAAAGCCAGTGAAAACCTCGTAGGAATAAAAAATAATGTTAATAATAGGAAAACGTTGATTTTCATTGCAGGGAAGCAAAATAACCTGACCTTCAATAGAAGTCGAGCAATTATACTTACGTAAGGATATATTTAATCTATATCTATAGCCCATGTAACTTACCTACCCGTCTAGATATCATAGCATGTGAATTTCCACAGAATTATCCCAGAGTCTGACTTATTAAAACAAATGCTTTATTAATTTCAATGCAGAATGTACGTACGTATTTAGAATAATTGACAATGAAAAACAGCTGAAACACAAGGAAAATACAATATGTGTAAAAAAAGAAAAAGAAAAAGGAAGTCTTGAAACCAAGGAAAGTTTTTTCTCCCAAGATCATTTTCCGGGGCCTATTAGTGCTGCGAAGACTCGAAGAGCGTACACAACCTTGTGCTCTTATTTAGGAGTTCTTACACTCTAGGAATATCACTGATGCTGTGTAAATCGTTAGTAGTAATGTTAAGTAAATGTGTGAAGAAAGGACCACTGAAACAATGTTAATTCGTGTACTTTGTAACAAATACTTGAGGTTTATATTGCTAAGCCGCAATGAAGTACATTTTTTCTATAGACAATACAATCGGACGTCATTTTGAATTTCTTAGTCTTGAATATTTTTTGAACAATTTCTTGATAAGTACCATATCCTTGAGAAAAATCTAAAATAGTTGTAGCAAACCCTTCCACCCCTACTGCCTTAAATTCCTCTCACAGTTACAATGTATTATAAGATTGATGTATAAGTCTGATCTATAAAATTGACCTACAGTAATAGACACTGTTTCCGTCTATCAAAATAACTCTTATTATTAGTCGCGAAAATTTCTGTAGTTTTAAAATGTTTAGTCTCAAATTGACAAAATGTTCAAAGGAATTGGTCTCTATCTAACGCGAGTTTGAAAAAAATTTGCATCGGCTTCAATTTTCAAAATAATCTATCTCGACTTGAAACGATTTTTAAATAAGTTACTCCCAATGAAAATTAGATCGAAAGAATTGAACTCCACTACAAACAATATTCAAAGTAGAACAATAGCACATTGACTCTTGCTTACCTGATAGCCTTGAGCTTCAACCTCTATCTTAAAACTGCTGAATGCTAATATGCATAATTTCGTCCACTGTTTCGTCAATCACTTAAAACATTTTGCGGATAATCCAGGCTTGACTTCAAAAAAAATTCGAAGAAAAAGAACTCGAATTAAAAATCATTTTAAAATCATCCACCCTTCAATTCAAGCAATGATCACGAAGATTAATTGAAAATCTAACATTATGCTCTTGCATAGCTGAAGGTATTGAATTTCCTCTCGGACATACTATTCTCATACCGCTGGACTACTTCAAAAGTTGATTTTTTTAAACTTTTGAGTTACTAATATCAACAACTTTTCAAGAACTTGTCCTTCTTTAAAATCGATTGCCAAAGATGTCGGTCTTAGCTTACAACTATTTTCACAATACTTGGTCTGGTCTTAAATTAATGCACAAAGTTAACTCCAGTTCCAGAAAGCCCTGAGCTTGCATATGTAATAACCTTGAGCTTCAAGCATATCTTCGAACTCGTGAAAGCTATTATACGAAGGGTTTTTTACATTTTAGACTCAAATTCAAACAATTTGCAAAGAAAGTAATTTTGACGGTGCTGATGCGTACCTGACAGCCTTGAACTTAATATGTTCTCTCATATCCTGGGCGAATGCTAAACTACCTTTGCCTTTCTACCCTTTAACGAATCAATTGAGACAATTTCAAATGGCTACAAACAATTTTCTATGAACTCGGACTCGGACGAAAACCATTTACAAAAAATTCCACCTCCAATGAAAAAAAAATTAAAAGAAAAACATTCCCAAACCGAACGATGTCGCTAAAATTGCCTATGATTTTCTATCAATCAATTTGTTTAATCAATCAATTAGACCAACTTTCAAATCCAGATTCAGATTCGACTTCAAGCAGATTTTAAAGAATTATACCTCAGATTTAAAGTATGCTCAAAGAGGAACATACTCAAACCGAAGGATGTCGCCGATGCATACCTGATAGCCTTGAGCTTCAAGCATCCTCCCATATCCTCGGACTGCTCGCACTGCGACAGCGAGTGGTACAGCACGTGGATGCCTCCGATAATTCCAGAGTCAGGTGACGCCGCCACGTCCTCCGCAGGGGCCGGGTCAGGTGCGGGGGCGGCCCTGGCGACAGCAGCCAACGACACCACCAGGGCGAGGAAGAGTGCACGGCGTGGAGCCATGGCGGGGACGGTGGAGCCGGAGGAGGGGAACCGGTGGAAGGGTTGTTGGGGGTGGATGGTGGTGGGGTGGGAGAGCAGACGTGAGCACCAAAAGAGTCGTTTACCGACTGTGGTGGTGCCTGCGGCGGCCGGGTGTTTTATACGGCGCGGCCGCGTGTTGGGTCGGAACGCCAGACCCATATCCGGGGGTTGGGTGGGGGGGAGAGGGAGTTGGCGTTCGCTTTCCCCCGGAACCGCGTGCGCGGGGGACCTTGACCGTGGGGGGGGCGAAGCGCACGCGTGCGCTCTCATGAGACACTTGACGCGCGCCGCGCGCCACCCGGGGCCTGCGCGTTTCCGTAGGAAGAAGATGTGTTCCACGCGCGCGGTTTTTTTCTTTTCTTGCGGGCGCGCAGGCGGCAAGGAGGCTGATTAGGGTACGGATCAGAAGTCTCGGCTGGATGTGATGAGGTTCCCTTTGGACGACTCTGATTATTAAAGCGATCTGAAAGCGTTCCTAATATCGAGAAATTAATAACTAATACATAAAGTTTTTAGAGTAATTTTGAATGTAGGATAGCTGATGATGTTCTTGCAAGTGGCATTGACTGATTGATTAGTGATGCCGGGCACTTCATTTACTAACTACATTAGTTCCGAAAGAACAGCGCATGTTTTTACCGTGGAAAGTGGCAGTGATCTTTCCTCACTGGATGACGAAACCCGGCGCCGACCTACCCGTCGGTTTGCGTTGGTTTTCCTCACCCAGGTATCTCCAGCCAGCGAGGTACCGCCCCAGTCGGGACAAACTCTGACCTCACAGACGGTCTCTCGGTATGTGTGAGAGTGTCCGTGTGTAAATAAGGGATAGGATAGGCAAAGAAAGAGGAAGGAAATATCGTGAGGAGTCTGTGGCCCGTTTGTTAGGGTACTGCTCCGGCAGGGGCTTGGTTTTCATTAGAGAAACCACAGAAAACTACCGATCAGAGCATCCGGCCAGTAAAATTCTTCAGCAGACAGCGGCAGCCCTAGATAAGTATGAACCTTGTGTAGAAAATAATTGCATCGCGGTGCACCATCGGTATTCGAACCCTGGGAACTGTCGGTCAGAAGCACTCTAGTGCCAGTGACATTGATTGATTCCTGAGCCACTTAAGCGTGTAATAACTAAAAAATAATGTTAATATAATAAGTACTGAATGTAGGTTAAATGGTATTCCAACAAGATGTGTTACTCATCAATGAGAGGAGGAAACGGCTCAAAAGAAAGAATACTTGGCTTGATATGATCTTCATTTAAATAATTATTCGTTTTCATTCGTTAAATTATCGATTTGTTGGTTATTTAGCATTCGGTTTGTTTAAGTCTAAGCAATCCTAAGAGATTAAAAATAAATTAATGAATCTAATAATATTTTGGCGCACGCGATGTGATATAGGTGATTTGACGACTGACTTTATTGAGCAGGTAAATGTGTTGGTCTTTCAGTCTTTGGTTTGTTCTCTGCTATTTATAACTAATGGATTGTTAATAGTAAGATAAGTCATTTGCACTATCAATGCAGACGCAGCAGTAAGATTTGATTTAATTGTTTTGCTTAGAACTGAGGACGGTTCCAAGTGAGATTATCCTTACTTGAGGATGGCTTCGAGAAAGTCTTGAAATAAAAGTGGGTCTTATATGTGAGAACATTCGACTAGATCCGATATTAGATATGATCAAATCAGTCAATCAATAAATTATTCAAATGAGCGATTGTTATTTTTTTTACTGCACATTTTAATTTGTATGATTCCACACAATTTTAAGCAATTTTGAGTAATAACTAATGAACATAACAAATAATATTATGAAATAATTGTACATGAGTTGATTTGAATGACAAATATTATTGAGACGATTTTGGTTAGTCTTTCAGTCTTTATATCTGTATATTGGTCTACTCCTTGAGAAAATTGTAACTATTGCATGAGGCTATGTGATTTGTACTGTAATGCCAGATGCTTTATGAAGATAATTTCATCTTGGTTTGGGGTGAGGGTGAATGAGGGGAAGACTAGGTGATGAATCAGGTGACTCGGTGAGATACTTGATTGATTGTTAGTGATTCCGAGCGCGTCAACTGCGAATGTTATTAATCCCGTAAGTGTTGAGCATGTTTTTTCTCTCTCGGGAAGAGGCGTTCCCCCGCTGGTTGGTAACATCCGACGCCAACCTACCGTCGTCTAGCAGGGCTTTCCACAACCAGGTGTTTCCCACCAGCGGGGCACCATGCCAGCCGGACAACCTGTAAGCTACTGACCGGACTCCCGGCTGGGTCGAGACATATGAATAGCGACAAATTGATAAAAGCAAACTTGTGTATATTGCGTACTAAAACCTCTTTATAATGAACATTATAATAACGAAAAACTACCTAAAAAAGACGTTTCTCGATTCTGTTAAAATTGTGTTATGACCTGTCTCTATTTAACGAAAACTCAAAATTTAAAAGAAAGTAGAAAACAAGCCGATGTGCTTTGTTTAAAAAAGGCTCATTTAGCACATACACTAAGAGTATGAGTTTCATGGTTAGTTAATTTTCAAATATTTATTATCGCAATGTGAAAGTCTGAGGGTCAGCAAGATGAAACGTTATAAGCATTTGGGTTTGACTGGCAGAATTCTATAATAAAAATTTTAAATAATACATTCATAATCGCCATTGCTACGTATTGCCTTTTAATAAATTATTCCTATATTATTTGTATAATTAAAATTATTATTTAATTCAGTTATGATTGAGATTGAAATTATTACCACACATTTTCATTTTCTTCTTTGAAGATTGTAATATAATTTTACTTTATTATATTGAAAAATTGACAATTTTTTTTCTCAAATGAATCGTAGCTTTT